ACATACATACATACATACATACATACATACATACATACATACATACAATCTACTGTTCACCAGATCCTATGCTGGATGTCAGTGGACTGCCTCAAGGATGCTCTCCTATTATGCTACAAATTGCTGCCACTCTGAAGTACTGCTACCCACTGTGGTCTCTATTTGGGAAAACTAGCATGTAAATAACAAGAAGTCCGGTGGCACCTTAAAGGCTAACAGATTTATTTGGGGATAAGCTTTCGTGGGTAAAAAAAACAACACTTCTTCAGATGCTGTGGGTGAAATATGAACAGTCCTTGATTATTAATATCATCCAAACAGCCTATCAACCCAATCCTACTAATCAGTCAGTCTGTTAGGAGAATGCAGAACCATTTGAATAGCAGCATCTTATAAGCAGATTTCTATTTACTGTTGATCCTTCACATCTAATTAAGAGTAACTTCCAACGCAGCACTGTCTACAAGTCTTACCTTTGTCATTCTATTAAAAACAATGACAAAGAAACAGCTTCTGCACTTGTGGGGATCTAAATCCTTTTATACGCCCAAGTCATTAGTTAAAATAAACACACATTTTGGATGCTTACCGTCTAAAGTCAAAAAGAGGTAAAGAAATTTGACCCAACATCTCTGGGCCCTTTCTCTGTTTATTTGAATCAGGTGAACTTCCACTATTTTGATTTAATATTCCAAACAGAGTAAGACACAAGATCGATTCCAATGGCAATTGTGAAATCTGGATGGGGAAAATGATTCTGTAAAATAAAAGTATGTTAAAGAAGACAACTCAGAAGAAAAGAAAGCATTAGAATCTTAAAAGGAAGTTACAATATATGTTAATGCTTTTTGTTCTCAAAGGAAGTGAATTGGTATTGAATGTTAATATGCAAATTTCATTTATTCACACGCTGCATCACATCTCTAGTGTCAGTAACAATTTCTGAAGGGTGCAAGGCAACAATCCTGCATCATATCTAAGTTCAAAAGTACCTCTTAATGGACGAGATTTCTTGTGTAAAATTACATGTTCTTTCCAAGGAGCTGGACTGTCTAGTATAATTAATTTTTCCACTTTTTTGGCTCACTATCAGGGCCTACAGATTTGGTTTAACACCTCTACTTTTCTAAGTTTAATATTAAAGTCAAGCTTTGAGACAACAGGTTTTCCATCCAAACGAAGTGCTGTTTCATGTAAGCATTTACATGTACTGAAATGGCACACAAAGTAGAACCTTCAAATCTTGCTGAACACTAATAAAATTCAATGGACAGAGTAAAGTTCACACTATTATTTTTCCTGCCTTGAAGTATTCTTTAGTTTTATTGTAAGGTCAGTTTTATATGCCAAAACCCTACACAATTCCTACATTAAATGGCCTGGAATTAGCCTGAGAGACCACCTGTCTCTCAGAGATACACTGCTCAGTTACCATCAGCAGACGCGCTCAGGTTAGATCCCTCAGTATAACAGAGGGCAGCTACTTGGTCATTCTATATAGAGTGTCCTGGGGAGTTTGAAATACTGTTCTGCCCTGGTGTAAAATAGGTCAACAAAATCCTGGCTACTTGTTTAACCTGGCCTTTGAAGAGATAGGGAACTAAGGTATAGGCAGGTGTGTAGGTTTGTAGGCATTTGGATTACAAGATGTTGCCTAGAAGAAGTGGAGAGTTGAACTGTGTATTTAAATTTATAATTTTAAACAAAGGGAAAGGTGCTCAAGCCTATGTCTGGGCACTTATTGTTTTAAGTGTGACAGGGGGTGGTGGGGGTGGTACTGAAACACAAACAGTGTATGGGTGAGGGGAGCCAATTTTTAACCCCCAGGATTAGAACACTATCAATCCAGAGTTTTCCTCTTGTATTCCGCCCCCCACGCTCAAAATCTAAATTAGCTCAAGGACAGTTAAACATTCTCCCACACAGAAGATAAGATTTAATAGCAAAAAAGTCTGATTTTCTTAAGTGAGCATTTAAAGAGTCTGCCTTCCTGCCAGTGACAGCCCTCCCATCTAAGATTATTTTTAGAATGACAATATATGCACAACTGTTGTCATACATTGCAAAGAAGTGTTAAAACACACTGCTTGCATTTAAGTGAAGATTATCTTATCACTGAAAAATGCTTAGAGACTCCAATGAGAAGGCAAGCTTCCAGAGTACTTACAATACCGTAACAAGTTTTTCCCTCCCTAGACATTCAGGCCATAATTGAAGAAGCCTTTTTCCTGTTTTCCTCTTTATAGGTGCAAAGTGTGCCCACAAAAAGGGAGGAGTTTTTTAAAATGTAAGTTTTCCAACAGTTTATAAATGTGAACAATCAGCATATTAGTAGAGAGCATTTGTTTCTTACCTCTACCCCCACACTTTTTCAAAATTAGCAGGGTAAAGTGCTACTCTAACCCAGACAGTATTAACATGTCAGACATTTGTGATCACAGAAAGTCTAAGTTTACTAAGGAGTTCAACAGAATTAGCATCTTACATAACTCTATTAGCTAAGTATAGTTAGAAAATACTATAATTAAAAGATACAGAAATATTTTAATGAAGGAGCAGAAGTACTAAAATTACTTACAGTTCATCCCATTTAATCAGATAGAAGAAATTCTTATATGTGCCAACCTTCTTGGACTGAACGGGTTTAAACAAATCTTTTCCATTATGGGTCAGAGAGCAAACCAAGTAGTATTTTTCATAACTGGAAAGGAAAAGTCAATATGTTGAAGCAGGAAGAACAAGAGATGGATAACTGATTTGTAAAAAGGGACATTAGTTTAATAAATTACTCACTTTGACACCCAACCGGTAAGAATTCCATGAGCAGCAAATATTGTGAATTGCAGGTGCTCTGTGGCAGTCCATGCTTCCTTAGTGCTTCTATTATTTTTTGTTGCAGAATTGCTGCTACTGCAGCCTGAGTTTAAGTGGAGGTGAAGAAGGGCATAGACTGCTGCAGTCAACTGGTCTATGCTCACTTGCACAGGGTTTTCAGGCTGCAATGAACCTAGATTATAATACATCTTTAATGCGTATCTTCCTAAAACAACCATCTGAAAACTATTCTGAAATAAGATTAAAAGCTTTACTTACCAACTGAACTGTTGCTAGTGTCATCACTGGGCTTTAAGGACACCTGCACAGTAAATTATGGCAAATTTCAGAAAAACATTGAAGCAGCTTACATCTAAATAATCCCCAATTGCCATTCTTCTCAATGACAAGCTTTGTAGTTTAAACACATTATGATTACCTGAAACACTGGGCTAGATTTAGGCTCACACTTTGGTCCCTTTGCACCCTTCTAGCCCAAAAAGTCCATAAAAGCTACCATATGTGAATATCTGAGGATTCATATTGAGTGATCAAGACCAGAGCAAACTGCTCTGGCAAGCCACAATCAATGTAACAGCTGCTAGAGGACCATTAAAAAAAAATCAGTAGTGCTGAGGATGCTCTAACTTACACCAAGGAACTAGGGGAACACAAAGGTGGTATACAGATCAGCTACTCCAGAGGAAAAGGACTGTTATAGTCAATATACCACTGCTAGAAAAAAAACTGAAATACAATAGTCAAGATGTTTCTTTTATTTGATATGAGAACTTATTTCTCAAACTATACAACAAATTTAGTGTAAAGCATGAACTTATACACCTAGGGAGCACCAAACTTTTTCAAAAGTGTATTCTATCAAAAGTATCTTTACCATACAGCTAGCCTCTACATTTTATTTTTTTGTTCGGTGAGTAACTGATGAGACCAACTAGAAGTCAGTGCCTTAATTTTTCCGTATCTGTTCCATTATTCCCTTTTAACAATTTCTTGTGTAAAAAGCAACCTGTATAATATGATGCAATACCTGGATGCTCTATCTTCCATTACACCACTGTCATGTCATGAAGGGGTACTGCTGTAGCATAAAGAATGGAAAACCTCTTACTGATAACTTCCTTTCTGCTAGCAGCACCTCACACAATTCTGCATGTCTGGCCTGCTTTCCTCTCTCAGCAGCTCCGAGAAGGATCAGTGTTTTGGTGCTCCACGGTCTGGTCACATTACCTCTGCTCTTGCTGGCTGCCAGATGAGTTATTCCCAAGCTATGAAACTTGCATGACAACAAGTATTCCAGAGACAATGAAATAACTGTACCTTAGACCAAGACAGCCATATGGTAACAATGCCACTTAATATCTGACCCTGGACTCATGAGCCATCCAGGCTGGCTAGGGCTATGGGAGACGCTGCTAGCAGAAAGGAAATTAGTGGTAAGAAATTTTCTGTTCTGCAGCTCTGTCTCTCCCACAATTCTGCAAAGCAGTGAAACAAGTTTGGTAGGAAAGAAGTACCCTGCCCTTTTTGTGAGCTCGCTCAAGTCTGTATTATTTCTGGGCTACTGCCTGCAGCACTTTCCTGCTAAAGGAGATCTCTGCAGAAGACAGAAGGGCCACCCTGCAGTACTTTGAAGGCGTTAGCTGTAGACCAAGTGGCCCACTTTGCAAATTTCCAAAGTGAACAGACCTGCTTGTTCCACCCATGAGGTTGCTATGGATCTCATGAAAAGCACCTTGATCCCTTTGGGACAGGAGCCTCTGATGATCTGTAGGTTTCCACAATACACAGTCTAATCTACCTATCAATGGCAGACTTGGGGTATGTCTACACTACGAAATTAGGTCGAATTTATAGAAGTCGATTTTTTACAATCGATTGTGTATGTCCCCACTTAAGACCATTAACTCGGCGGAGTGCATCCACAGTACTAAGGCTAGTGTCGACTTTCGGAGCGTTGCACTGTGGGTAGCTATCCCACAGTTCCCGCGGTCTCCACCGCCCATTGGAATTCTGGGTTGAGCTCCCAATGCCTGATGGGGCAAAAACTTTGTCGCGAGTAGTTTTGGGTACATGTCGTCAGCCCTCCTCCCCCCTCCGTGAAAGCAATGGCAGACAATCGTTTTGCGCCTTTTTTCCAGGGTCCCATCCATCGGACCCGCTCAGCCCGCTGCCTGCCTGGACGATCGGAACCCAGGCCGGCAGTGGGCTGAGAGGGTTGGCGGACAGAGCCCCAGACCAGCAGCGGGGTGAGCGGCTCAGCCCGCTGCCGGTCTGGGACTCCGTCTGCCGGCTCCTGCCAGCCGGGGTCCCGCTCAGCTGGCAGACCTTGGTGAGGTCGATCAGGGGTGCCTGGACAGACATGGCTATCTTCCTCTTAGAGCACCGAATGGGAGTGACTCCAGGTCATTCTCTTCTTTAAGTTTCGTCTCATGGAGATTCAGTCCTGCCTGGAATATCATGCGAGCTGGAGGCCTCTGCCTCAGGCTGCTCTCCCAGCTGGCAGTACCGCGCAGTCGCACCTACTCCAGCCTGCCCCTTGCTCCCATGGCTCATGAAGCCTGGACAGTAGTAAAGAACAGGTCAACTTGTGGAATGACAAATCCAGAACGAAGGATTGCACTCTATGGGCCACGTTAAGATTACTTCAGAGTCCTAGATAGCATTAGTCCCTAAAAAAGGCTTCATGAAAATTTCCCCCCGCCCCTAACAAAAATGTTAATTTATCAGAGCAGCTGAAAAGGTAAGGAACCCAGGACTATAACTTAGAGAGAGCTTCCATATTATTTAACTCATAATTGATATAATTCAAAGTAAAATTTCACAGTGTGGTCTGTTCTAAGACTAAAAATGCAGGAGGGGAGTCAGAAAAAGGAACAGTGGCCTGTTTCTGCCCGGTTTCGGACTGGGGACATTCTGTGTGTTAGGTGAACGTGATCACCACTACACTATGGGGCTTTTTTTTTTTTTGCCACAGACTTTGCCGAATGCACAGGAATGTTTTCTCTAGCTACAGAAGCTACCTAATGCAATGTCTATATCTACGGCCTTCCTGCTCACAAAGTGGTCCTGGTAAGCCTCCTGAAGTTCTAGAACAAGAAAAATTCCTGGATGGAACCAGAGAATCTTTCTTGGCACTGATTATGAAGCCATGTGCCTTGAGGCGAGTCAATGTCTGAGACACGCGCCCCTGTGCGATGCGGATTGTGATGGAGCTCTGATCAGGATGTCATCCAGGAAGGGGGTGAGTTCCCTGTGACCTGATTCTGGCTACTGTCCCCAACATCCTTGTAAAAATCCTGAGAATCCAGGACAGGCTGAATAGGAGTGTTCAGTACTGAAGTTTCCTGCCATAGGCAAACCCCAGAAGTCTGTGATAGCATGGCATGATGGGGATATGGAGATAAGCTTCTGCTAGATCTACTGAAGTCAAGAATTCCCCTCCCCATCCTCCAGGCCAGGAATGACACTGTAGAGGCCAGGGTCTCTATCTGAAGCTTCATTTCCTTCATCTACTCTGCCTTTTGAGGCAGAGAATGGCTCCGATAGCTCCCTCCCTGTCCCCAATGGGATTCTGTACAATGAAGATGATGAAGTAGAACCCAGAGAACCTTTCTTCTGAGGAAACACACTATCACTCACATATCCAGAATATGAGATATTTTGTTCTGGATCAGACTGTTTTACAGGGTCAGTGGAGCTGGGTGACTGGATGAAGAACATATGAATGAGGTGAGCATCCCTGGCTTGCTACTTCCCTAACCCACTTGTTGAGGAAAACCATTCCTTTAGGAAATGGGAAATCCTGCCTCCTAGTTTCAGCTCTGGGCACAGGTCTGTGCGATCCTTGTCACAAAGTGTGATTTTGGCAGGGCTGAGGTGATCTCCATCATTGGAGATTTTTAAGAGCAAACACTTGTCTGGAATGCTCTAGATAATTCTTAGTCCTGCCACGAGTGCAGGCGACTGGACTAGAGGACCTCTCGAGGTCCCTTCCAGTCCTATGATACTCAGACTGAGGCTCACAAGTGGCTCGCAAGAGGCTCACAAGTGGCTCTTTAATGTGCCTCATGAGGCTCTTTGCAGCACATATTAAAACACTGAATTAGTTAGTAAAAGCATCCTGATTGGTTATGTTATTAACCAACTGTAGTTGATAAAATAATAACCTGGTCAGTCACTTCGCTGAAAATGAAATAATGAATTCACACTACTGTGGCACTTCTGGGTAATGCTGATGGCTAATTTGGCTCCTGACTACTGAGGTCTGAGTATAGATGCTCTGGACTTTTCCCCAGACCTCGATTCCACTGTTCTCCCCTGGGGAATTTGATGTCTGTTTGCTGGCACCTCTGTGAGGATAAGGAATGAAAGGAGTGCCTCTGACAGCCTAACTATGTTGCATTTTGTCGCATTGTGAGCCATCACCTTATGCACCTTCTCTCAAAAAAGGATGGAGCCTGTAAACCTGGCCAAGCACAGACCTGCTTAGTGAGTATCCACCTTTCAGGGCCAGAGCCATGGCTCAAGCTGTGAACCTCACTACATCTATTGAGGCATCGGCTACAAATGCTATTGCTAGGGAAACTTTCTTTAAAGTGGAGCCAAAGCCAGAGTGATCTCTGTTCAAGGGCTTTGAGATCTTCCAGGCAGGAAAGAAATGCTCTTCCAAAGCAGATGGTCACCAGGATGGTGGGAAGGGAGGGGGCACAGGAGCCTTCAAAGCCCTTTTTAAGAGTGACCTCCATCTTTCTATCCAGGAGTCCTGAGGGCAGAACCCCACTGCTCAGGGAAGAATCCTATCCCACTACAGCAGTGTCACCCATTGGTATCTCATCGATAGACCCTGTCGATTCTTGAATGTTATAGAGCCTGACATCGCACTTATTAACAGGCTAGCCCTTATCAGGCTTGTTCCTTTTATCCCTAATCACCCCCTGGAAGGTTTCAGAGCCAGACAGCTCACCTTCATCAGTAAAGGAGTGGAAGGAGGACGATGACAACAACTTGGATCTCCTGGATTTTTGTGCTTCTTTCCTTTTTAGATTTTTTTCCCCCCCTCTTCACCTTTTTAGAGCACTTTGGAACCGTAGCTCTGCTGCCACTTTGGTAAGGCCTTTTGCAGCTTGTCTTCCTTTGGCCCTGGAGCCCTCTTGAGAGGTCCGACTCAGAATTCTGTCCTGCTGGGTCCCATTCCCCCTCAGATCTCCTGGTCAGCTTGGGAATGAGGGGGACTGACTAGAAGCTTTGATTTTTCCCCAAGGTGCTGAGGACCCACTTTAAGGCTGGGACTTCTGGCCCCACAAGCCTCCACTCTTTGTATAGCAGGGGTCCACTGGGACCCACCTGAGTGGAGTGATCAGGGTCCTTCTTGCTTTCAGAGCCTCTCCCTGCTCTGCACTGGGGTTCCTGGTCCTTTCCTCCCCCCATTAGAGTTGCAGCTGCCTCAGTGGGTAGGGGACCCCACCTGCCTATCTGACTCCTAGCCCCAGAGTTAGGGATGGAAGGCTGGGCACAACTTGACATCTGCCGAGCCTGGAGAAGGCTGCCTCACCTATAAAGCACTCTTTGGATTTAACCCGGTGCTTTATCAGTTGCTCTGCCATGCCTGGAAGGGGCAGAGGAGACAGCACAGAAATGCTGCAGCAGAGGCTCAGGGAGGGCTAAACCAAGCCAGGAAGAAGAAGAAATGCTGCAGGAGAACATTGCTCCCACTGTGCAAAAAACTAGGCAGAAAAGTTAAAATATGAGAAAGGGTGGGAGCAAAAATAATAAATAAATAAAACCCACCAAACCCCGCCACTGCCTGTTATAGAGGCAGAGAACGTCAGAGAAGAGCAGAGGGGGCATATCCAGACCACGTGGCACAAAAACACAGATTGGCCTCTGAGTTGCCTGCAAGAGACAGGAGAGCAGCCCAAGCATCCTCCAGAATGGTGGAAGATACTGGGCTGCAGAAATTGGGAATAAAATGCACAGGAATGTCACATGCCTAGACAAAATGAATGAGGGCTTGCTGGTCAAATTCCAACTCTAATAAACGCTCACCATGCAAGTTCTCCCTTAGTTTTAGTTTAGTATAGGCTTTCTTTTAAATTTCTTATCCTAAATCATCAGGTAAAGAGACTATAAATGATTAAGTAACTGACAATCGATCCCAGAGACAGCTAAATTTAAGACACGGATGAAGTGAATCTTATACACCTCATGCCTACCTCACAGGAGTGTTAAGAAGTTTTGTTATATACTTATTTGTTGCTGATATGCTCAGTCAGATAAGACAGTTAAGACTATAAATATAGATAAAACCTAAGAACCTTGTAGTTATCAAAGATCTTAAAGCTTGGAAAATCAGTTTCCACAAAAGAGCTAACTACATTTTCACTTACAGAGTGAGTGTCTCCACACTATTTATAAAACACTCAGAGATCCTGGGATGACAAGTGCTATATACACACCAAGCATTACTAAAACATGATTGTACGTATATTTTTATCCAAAGATCTATTGTTTATTGTTACCCCTTGACTTGTCGTAACTGCTAAACATTGTATGTAGAGTTTTGATGGAGACTATTAGAGAATTCCAATTAAATGCAATTTTTTCCTTCTCCAGAAGTGATTCACTTACCTTTAACAAGGGTAATCTAAGTAAATATTTATTGCAACAACAAACAAATAGAAGATTTTTTTACATTAAAACAGATTACAGAAGTACATTAAGTTTTTATTATGAAATCATGACTCCACCCTCTATATGTGAGGATTTTTACATTCTAAGGACCACGTTCATTTTCAAAGTTTTCTTTTAGGCTTTGGATCAAAGAAATTTTGGAAACTGATCCAGTAAGGTTTGGAGTAACAGTTTTTTTCTGTGACATTCCGTGGAGCACAGACATTTTTATGCAGATTTTCTACATTTCCATGCCAAATTTTACTTTTTAGAAGCAGTCTGAAGGGGACTGTCTGTGACTCCCTGTCTAGGCTGTTATAGTGCCTGAGAAGTTTACATTTGGTAACTGGTTGGTGAAATCTAAGTATACATCTCACAACCAATTTACAAATACTACCGCCATCACAATGGTGAACCCAGGAAGGTTGGTGCCAGTATGATATTAGCGTGGTGGAACAGCAAAAGGCACAGCTCTGCAAAACTCTGGCTTATGTTTTTGGCAGAGTTTTATTCCTTTCTGACAAAAAACGTTTTCCTTCTAATGAAGATCCCCTTTTGGTATAGTTAAGTCAGATCTTGTCAAAAAGTAAGCCAGCTTCACGGAAACAAACTGCTCAATTAAGGCAGCTTTTGAATGAGAATTTGCATCATTTGGGAGCATCTTTGGTCCCGGACTCAATATTCAGAGAAGATGGAGTTTTGAAGTGCAATTGGTAGTTTACACACTACAGACAAGAACACTGATCGTTGCTCATAAGAAAGGAAGAGAAGTTCCTATCACTGCAGAAGGGCATGAACTAATCATTAAAGCTTCATTTGAATTTAGTGCATCCACTGCCATGCACAAGTCCACGCAGCACATAGTCTCAGGTTCTTGTATTGTACCCACATAATATGTGAAAATATCAACACTCACAGTAATTTCAAAAACATTTAAATAGGAGAGGATGCCAAGAGTTCACCATCAAATATTCTTTTGAACAGACTGAAAAGGGAATTTTTTAATCAAACCTTCCACATTTGGTAGAAGTGTCCCTTTAAACTTTTTATTTTTAAAAATCAACCCTACTTAGAAATATTGCAGGAGGTTTCAGTTATCACTGCTTCTGAAATAACTTTTTAATAAAAACGAGGAGTCCTTGTGGCACCTCAGAGACTAAAATTTATTTGGGCATAAGCTTTCGTGGACTAGAACACACTTCATCTGATGCATGGGTTTTAGCCCACGAAAGCTTATGCCCAAATAAATGTTAGTCTCTAAGGTGCCACAAGGACTCCTCGTTGTTTTTGCTGGTACAGACTAACACGGCTACCACTCTGAAACTTTTAAATAAATACTGATAAAATACTTCTATCAGAATGCCATTGATACAATGTGTTCAAGTTCACATGATAAACATGCTTACCTCAGGACTTTTACTCCTTGGAAGATTAACAGCCCTCCTCAGCTTCTTTACAGAGTCTGTTATTGCTTGAGTTTCTACTCCATCCAGTGCATAACAGATTTTTCTTACAGCTTTGATTACATGATCTACTGCTTTCTGTTGGTTCTAGTGAGAAAAGTACACAGACAAAGAAAGGAAGAATTTTTATTATGTTTGCAGAAATTGAGATTGTTGCAGTCAAAAAAAAAAATCAAGATAAAATTTTAGAGGGGAAGTCAGAAAACAAAAAACCACAGTTTTGGACATTATCTATGGATATAGCTGCTCAGTTCCACTAAAAAGTTAAGTGTTTAAACTAAAAATCATAGTTTTGAAATCACATACGAGTTATGACATCAACTTATAAAGTACAAGTCAAGAATTTTTCCTTGAACAAAAAACTGCTTATGGCTCATTTACCAAGGTATGAATCACAGGCCTGGTATGGATCCTAGTATATATCCTCCCAGAAAGAGCTTGCAAGATTTCTAGCCATATCTTCCTTTTACATCTATATTTCACGGTACAGAGAAGACCAAATCTTCAGCTCATGTAAATCCATCAGCTCCAATGGAGTGTGATTCAGTGTGATGGAGGAATAGTATGAGTAAACCATGATTCTGTTCAAACGCAGACTTAATCCTCATTGTTTAATGTATGGCCCCATGCTTCAGACTTTACACTATCTAACCTCTCTTCTTATTGAGGTAATGGTCTGCAGAAACCTTACCTCAATCATTACACACCAAAATTTCTGCAACGAGGCAGAAGTGCTCCAGACTAGCTTCTTACAGCCTTGCCTCATCCACTATCAAAATTGGGCAGTGATTGAGACAGGAGTCCTTTGGGGCATAGGGAAGTGAGAATAGTGACTATGTAACTGAAGATCAAGTGGACACGCGTGCACGCTGGAGAACTTTGCTTAGTAGTAACCGTCATGGAAGCACACATGCCTTTTTGAACCCTCATAGCCCCTCCCTGGGGTACTTATGGGCAGTGCTGCCCCAACCCCCCTCAATTCTTTCACACTGAAAGCCAAAACTGGCGACTGATGCAGAAGGGATGGAGAGTCGGTTATGGAATACACATCTGCACCCACTTCTCGAAGAACAATTACAGCACAAGTAGATCATTTTTCTTTTTTGAGTAATTACAGACATGCATTTCACTCAAGTGAGTCAAGCAGTAATGGAAGAGGTGGGGCTCAGCGTCTACTTAAAACAACTGAAGAACTGCCTGTCCAAAGTTTGCATCTGATCTAGAGATAGTTGTAATAACATAGTGCTTGGTAAAAGTATGCACGAAGACCGGGTAGTGGCCCTGCACATGTCCAATATAGACAGATCACTGAGAAACGCGACGGAAGCCGCCTGGGTTCTCATCAAATGAATCAGTCTATTGTGGAGGTGTAGCCTGAGCTAGCCCACATGCTGTCATAATAAAGGATGTAATCCATGTGGAAATCATCTGTGTGCCTGACCCCTCTTCTGATCCACTCAGACACAAAGTTGAAGTGATGCACAAAAGTTTAGTGATTTTCAGATAGCAAGGATCATCATACAATCAACAAATCAATGTGCTGCTCATCTGCATTCAAATGAGGCTTAGGAAAGAGATACAGTAAATTTACTGATTGGTTATGGTGAAACTGTGAAACCACTTTAGACAAATTTTGGGTGTAGTCTGAAGGACACCCTGTCTTTGAAAAAACTGTGTATAGAGGCCTGGCCATTAGGGCCTGCAGTTCACTTAGTCTCTTATTGTTATCATATTCACAAGGAGAGTGTCTTTTGGCAAAAGGAAGGACAGGGGAACAAGTTGCTAAGTGCTCAAATGGAGGTCCCATGAGGGAAGCTAGCACAGTGTTACGATCCCACAAGGGAACAGCTTCTTTTACAGGTGGAAAAAAGGCAGACAACCCCTTTTAGAAATCTTCCATAGAGAGAAAAATATGGAATCCACTTACCTTGCTATTAATGGTTAACAAACTATTTGAACATAAAAATATTTACATTGTTTATGGAATTAGTTATCTGGCAAGGCCTAAGCAACTTGTTCACCAAGCTCAGGAAGACAAGAAGAACCATTTCAAAGATGAAGAAAATACAATACCTTCTTTGATAGTCTTTAAACTTATCAATAAATGATTAAGAATCATTTAAATTTAAGAAATATTTTTAAACAAACATAGAAAAAACAGCTGTAATCTGGATTAATTTAAAATGGAATTCTGACTCCTATTAAATTCTGATAGAACCATAAAGTCGAATTACAACCCTGTTGCTTACACATTCCCAGAATGCATATGCATGAGCTGAAGATGCTACCAAAGTCCTCACATATAACTGAGACAATGAAGCTGTCAAAGGATAATATTTGGATCCAGTCATGCCCCTGAAAGAGGTGCCTCTTCGATCCTTAGTAAGGCTATGAAAGCCAAGAATTTGGATACTAGCTCTTGGCATTCTTCTTAGCTTCATCTCATCCACCTCATCTCATTCAAGCCAGCAAACAGAAGCAGCAAAAAGACAGCTAAAACACCAAAGAGCAAAGAAACCACCACACTGCATCAAGAAGAAATAATCTTCCAGTTCAGCATTGCAACATGACATCACCGAGAATTCAACATTAGTGGTGAGCCCGAGTGTGTAAAAGCACTATCAGTAGATTAGTATTTACATATCACCTTAAAATAAATTTAAGGTTATAACTCAAATCTATTGTCGTTTAAGATACTAACTGTTTCTCCTGTTAAGCAAAAGATTGTTTAGACTATGTATTCCTGAAGAGATATAAGCTAATCTTAGTAAACAAAAAGAAACAGTAGGATTTAATTTGAGTACAAGGACTCTCAATTTTAATTAAGTTGCCTGTTCCAAGACTGTTCCCTACAGTGAGTTGATGAGTTTTTCTTAAACATTGCTCTTATAAATGAGTAATTCTTTAATTACCATCTAAATAAACCAAGTTAAATACTTCCTTCAGTTTCATAGGATTCAGTTTTTCATAGTTAACAAGTAGGAGTATTTTGCTTTTCTTTAGTCGTGCTGTCCTCTAAGGAATGGTAAGAGCCATAAAGGACTAAAATAATGGGAGGTGTCACATCTCTGAACTGGCAGCGAGATACAATCATTAAGATTTGGTCTATTGCCCTTATTTCTCTAGGCTATACATTTTTAGCACTTTGGGGGATAAAATTACTTGGAACGCAACGCTTGGAAAACCACACCATTTACCCTTATGGTTAGATGACCAATTATTTTAGTTGTGTGTGATGAGGAAGAGACAGGAAAGGAGATCTGAAAGCCTAGAACTTGGGATCTGATTTTAACAGGGAGAACTGAAAGACCTTGTTAGTTCTTAGTTTTTTAAATGCCATTAGTGTTTTTGTAACTCTCTCAATACAAGAAGGTGAGAGAAGACGCATATAAAGAGTACAAGATCATTCTTATGCAAGTTTTAGTATAGCACTAATTTGAAGGAGAATTTGTACTAGAAAAAAAAAAGGTATCTTACCTCTTTTTTAAGAACCATGTCAGTTTGAATATGGTAAGCCTCTAGGAGCTCTTCAACAGAATGCCTGGAATACATGATTAATTACTGTACAAGTGGAAGTTCATACTATACACCACCTTCTCACTAAAGGCAAATATAGTAAATTGTTCGAAAATTTAGCAGAAGACTACTTGATCATGAAGGCTGTAAATTACATGTTACCTTGAAATATTTTCTCTGAAAGGCTTTTCTGTTTTGTAGAGGTGTTTTGTTAAATTTGTAGGTGTCCTATCATCTTCTTCCTAGTAATGAGAAAATATTGGTAATTCAGTCAGTATTTGACATGAAAAAACAATTCCCTTAATTCAAGTTATAAAATGTAAACAAATATTTTAGATACAATATTTTTAGATGCAAAGACTGTAAAAAGCAACTGGGCCAAGATGTTTAAAAATGGATGCCTAAAGTTATGCTGCTAAATCCATATTTAAAGCACCTAAATAAGTGACGCAATTCTCAGAGACACTGAGCACCCAACAATTCCCATTGATTGCATCCAGCAGCTCCCACTGCAAAAAATGTTTTCCATCTGAGGTCCTCAAAGTACTTTGAAAACATAAATGAAACCTCAACATCCCTTTAAGGTAGGGAAAGTACAGATTGACCCCTCTGTGCCTCCATTTCCTAGAGTCACATAGAAGTCCAGATCTCTCTTCTGGTGTGTGCTTTAGCCAGAAGACAATTCTTTTCTTCTATAAATATAAGCCAAAAATTGCAAGACATTTTGGAATAGATAGGGGGGAGGGATAGCTCAGTGATTTGAGCATTGGCCTGCTAAACCCAGGGTTGAGAGTTCAATCCTTGAGGGGGCCATTTAGGGATCTGGGGCAAAAATCTGTCAGGGATGGTACTTGGTCCTGCTGTGAAGGCAGGGGACTGGACTCTATGTCCTTTCAAGGTCCCTTCCAGTTCTATGAGATAGGTATATCTCCACATAATAATTGGACTTGAGGGATTCTTAAAGTCTACTTTTCATGAGAGCCAGTTTAGTATTCATTTTGTTCATGACCTGCCCTCAGTGGATTCCTGCAAGTGGAAGTGGCTGCTGTTTGTGTAACTGGCTTAATTCATGCAAATAATAATCAGCCTTATTCAATAGGACTGCTTTCTTCTTGGTTGGGGGGAGGGAGAGCAGTGGTGGGTGGGCGGTTTCCTAACTCAGAAAGAGGACAGTAGAAAAAGACCAGCTCCTCCTCTACTCCCTCCTACACAACCATCAATTCCCACCTGAAAAGATAGCCTAGTCTAAAGTGGTAAATTAAAAATGCATATGGATCACTGTATTTCCTCTATTCAGAGGAGAAAGTCAAGCACAACACTATGTGGATTAACTACAGTCTGTTACTCATGTAACAAAGTTATATTTCAATCAGATCACTATCTGACCAACACTTCCATCACCTTTAAGCATGTCAGCAAGCATATAAAGACCATAAAAACCTTTGTTGTATTTTCTTATGCTCTCAAAGTCCAATCCGGAGGTTTAAGAGATTATATAGATTCGTAAATCCTTTATGGATTTTTTACCCATTTGGGGGTATATTCCACCTTCCCCTTCCAGGATGGCAACATTACATATACAGTTTCAGCAATATAAAAAAATCAGGATTATTATAACTGGAAGTTTAATTTGTACTTACTGTTCGTGCCAGATCTCTGCATACTACACTATGGGTCAAGAGCTGCAGTTTAATCTCTGCATCCCATTTTCGACAGTTCTGAATGTATTCATGACTTCCTACACAGTGCTTACTGTTAAATGAATGAATGCTGTAGTTACCTGCCATTTCAAAATATGCAACAAATGTTTTTCAAACAGCACTCAGATATTCAAGATAGCCCTGTCTGAGTCCTCCTCATCCTTCAGAAATACTTTGAAAATCCAAGATCTAGGTTAGACATTAATATCTTGATTCAGCATTTAGTCCTGCAGAACATCTCTGAATTTTCAGCCATTGAAGAGAATTAAGACTGCCACAGGACATAGGTGGTCTTAAAATGTAACCATTTACAGAATCCCAGTAGCGTGCATGGTCAACCGCCAATTCCAAATTAAGTATTTAAGAGTGCATCTTAATTCTGATTTAAAAATCATCAATTCCTTCTGTGCCTACAGATTCATTTACCAGGTTGCTGACATCTGAATAGCAGCTGAAAACTATGTTATTCTCTCACTATAGTCAAAGAGCCTAGAAGCCTGCATACAAGCACTCTCATTCACCACATGATTTAGATGAGGAATAGACAGATTTCTAGGAAACTTTTCAAGTCGTCTTAGTTTCCTTACTTTGCAGGATATGGGATCCCAGCATATGCTCAGATGTTAAAACAGGAAACAGATCCCATATAACATAAGTCTCTTTAAAATTCTTATCCACAAAGAGAAGCAAGAAATTCCAGTTACAAAGCCTTCTTCAGAGATTTGAAACAAAGGAGAATTTGGTTTAATTTTTTCTTTCAATCCATGAAGAATTCGAGAACCCCAGTCACACCACAGAATGCCAAAGATTCTCTAACCCCCAGTTTAATTTCCTCCTACTTTTCTCTTGTGCAATGAGGTGTTTTCCTTGGTTATGAACCCAGAAACAGCCCAAAATACTACTTGTCTATGATCGATTAGAAATGACTACATGTTTTCCAAGTGTATTCCATATCATATTTGAAAGAGCATTCCGAAGTAAAAAGGTCACTTGGGGGCAAGGGGTAGGGGGGAGGGAGAAGGGGTATCCTTATATCACAGCCTCAAGAGAGGCGAGAAGGCAATTTAGGAAAAGGCCTAAAGCCTGTTAAGGCAGAATAGGAAAAATCGTTTTGGCTTAAAATTTTCCCAAATGACAAAATATATACATGTAACTAGAATCTACCATCAATAAAGAATGCAAATGTGGCTTGTATTTTGATGAGTCTAATCCTCCACAGTACTTTTTTAAGTGAGTAGGAGGGGCTACAAACCTCAAAACAACTGATGATATAACATCACTTCCATTTCTATACCATGATCCAACACATGACAAGATTTGCAAGATGTTCATCAGAGTCTAGGATTATGAAAACAGCCTTACTGGAAACAGGATTCTCATTACAAGGCTATATTCCAAACCCCGAAGTTAGCTTTTACTGAACTTAAAGCAGTGTGAACTTTGTTCAGTCCCTTATGATCTGACAGCCTGTTGCTTAAATCAGCACTTTATCCACCAACATCAGTTTCTAATGAAGAAGGCTCAGAAAACAGGAAGTTCAGGTAAGAGAATGAAGTGTGAAAACTAGCGCCGTGAAGAGGCAAATAAGGTGATTTATATAAAGTTAAAAAGTGAATTCAGTGCAGGGAAGAGCGGACATACTGAGACCTAAAATGTTGTCTCATTTATTTGCTGAACAGGCAAAGAGGACCTAACAGTTTTGAAATGCAGTATGGTACTCAAGCAACTTTAAATTCTATAGCTTTTTAAATGCCCCCCCCTGGACTGTGTCATCCCCACTTCAGTCGGTCAGTCACACAACAGCTACTGTAACCAAACTAGAAGAAGCTCAAAGACCAGTGTAACTTTTGAAAGATTACTCTCATGAGGAGAGTGGAATGAATATAGAAATGGGAACTGATCATCATATGATGTAGTAGAGCACAAAAGGCTAATACATGCTAGAACAGAAAAGCCAGTTTCCAGATTAATGAATCTGCAGGGACATAGTACCTATGCACACACACTTCCTCCCCTGTGCCACCCACTACAAAGGAAGAGTAGTAATATTCAAATTCTAATATTCACTAAAAATTCAAATTTCGCAAATTTACTTTTACACATTTAATGGATAGATTTTCTAGTAACTGTGTCCTGAACTGAGTGACAGTTAAACATTAATACAAATTAATGTTGGCTTACTTCTGTAGAACTTCTTCTTGACCACAGACTTTCAGGATATAGCTGCTACTGTCCACTTCATTCAAGTCATCATGTACCCAGCAAAGTGCCTGCATTATTATAAGCTCGACAGGAGAACTCACTGTTTAAAAAAAAAAAAAAAATACACACCACCCACATCTGGAAGTTAAATAGCAATTATTGTACACCTCTGCTAATTCAATTGTAGTTGCTTACTCTATTTTTACAGAAGCAGGCAACATTATCCTCAACACACACACACACACACACACACACACACACACACACACACATATATATTGTGGTCTTATCTGAAAGGGTCTCAAAGCACATTAATTACAGCGCTCTCTGTAATACACATTACAAATGAGAAATCACTCTAGCCATCACTGAAATTCAGCCACATGCTTGAGGTATAATGTGGCAGCTGTTGAACAAAGGTGCGACACTACATAACTGTTTAGGAAAAGAAAACCACCTCCAACTGAAGCTGGAAAGGGGAATTTTTTAGGCATGATGCAATTACCCAAATTGCAATCTTGCTGAGACAACCAGAAACCACATCCTGAGCCAGATCTTAGAATCTTTAATAACCAGAAGTGGTCAAAAAAAAACCATAAATTTTCTTCTCGAACACGAATCCTTATTGTACTGGAACACCGATTTAGACCCAACTTTGATGGAAGAAAATTAAGTAGGTTACTAAGGGACCAGGAGACGGCTCTGACAGATAACGCAGAAAGCCACTGCTTCTTGCAGCTCCCACTGGCTGGGAATGGCGAACCGTGGCCACTGGGAGCTGCGAGCAGCTGTACCTGGTAAAGAAAGCGTGTCGCGGCCCGCTAGAGGCTTACTCTGAACAAGTCGCAAACCAAGTTTGGGAACCCCTGCTCTACAGCAAGGGAAGTACCTGATCTCTCATATCTCGCAGAAGAGTCTATTATTCACAGTGGAAATATCCATATGCTGGTGGAAACCAATACAGGAAGTTGAGGTTCCATATGTTCTCATTCTGAGTTGCCTAATGTAGCAGCTACAACAGCAGTGTAGTTTGGCATTTGTGAAACATGTAAAAATTCTAGGCGCCTACAGTATCAGCTACTGCAGACTAGAACACCAGGGGAGTGCTGAGGCACCCATTTTCTTATGAGATAATTAACCCTCACGGAAAAGAGATTCTTAGCTGCCCAGATGCTTTCCTTCCACATGCCATTCAGTATTTCCTGCTTGTTCAGGTAGGACAGATAACCACAGTTGTCACCTAACTTCCTTACCAGGGATTGCTAAAAGTTAACCCACATTTACGGCTGAGTTTTAATATATCGTGCAGTCTTGTCCCCGAAAGGGACATAACCTTTGCCGCCTTCTTCAAGACAGGTTAGACCTTAATTCTCAGAGCAGTGTTTGTGATTGAATTGGGCTGATTTGCAAGTGTCTTGCTGAATCCATACTTCTTTGATGACTGGCATCATGTGCTCAAAAACCTAAGCGATTAATTTAAGTCAACGTCTCTAGCCCTTATAATCGCAAAAATAACTTTTGAAGTGTGAGCAGAATATGACATGATGCAAGGATGTCTATCTGAACCTGTAGACAGCCTCAAACAGCTTTGAGGGAAGTCTGAATAGCTTTGTTTCAGTGTTTTCAAATACATTTGAATAAAAAAAATTAAATAAAATTTAATTCACAACTAGGCTGAGAAAGGTCCAAAAGGAAAATTTTCCATGAAAAGGCTGTAAGTACCAAAAAAGTAAGGTTTAGAATGAGTGTGCCATCTCAATATTTATAATTAAGACTTTCAGAAGTCACTTAGAATTCAAAGGAATAAGTAACTCATTAAAAAATTAGTAATCTGTTGAACTACAAAAATGAACTGTGAACTATAAAATGGAAACACTTACCATCACATGTAAATGTTACTGGCTGTTGGAATCCTTCAATTTCTATAGAAACCTTGATACTGGCATTCTCCCCACTTATATTTCTTTGCAGCATGACTGGACTCAGCACAAAGCCTGGATTTGTGTGCTGATTGGTATAGGGAAAGTTGGTCCTCAATCTGTAAACAAAGAGGGTTTTAGTTTATGAAATATTCTATGTATAAGTCCCTTGTCTGTCATGCACTGCAATGGACTTGTCTGAAAGTAGTACCAAAGCCCAGCAAGCAGTTGAAAAGGCTTTTTCATTCTTAATTTAAGCTGTAGATACAGAAACACTTGACTTGTCTGCTCTTTGCACCCCAAGACTGCCCATAACAAACAGATGAGCAACTAGTTTAAAATTAGTGTGTAGGCTGGAGCAAGAGACGACTTTCACATGTTAAGCTCATTGATACCCATTATCTTGATATTTGCGTGATGTTCTGAATTTCCATGTTTAAACTTTAAGTTACAATATAATTTAAGAGAGCAAACTATACTGTACCATCTGCATAAGACAACTGATTTTCATTAGTTAAAAAAATCCAATAGTTTTGGAATATAAATCCTCAAAGGACTCTAAAATGTTTAGTCTTTGGGCACTGCTGATGTATACTGTTCAAATCCAATTATTTCAAACACTGAAATTTAAATAAAGAAGCAATGAAAAGGAGATAAGCTAAGGGCAAAAAATTTTGAGGAAGAAGAGAGCTCATTTGTTTTTAAGTCTTGTAAACCAAATTGCTAATGAGAGCCAGGTATGTGTAATTTTCCCCCCGATTTGTTAGAAAATCTTCTGAGAAGTAAACTTTTTATTTTCAGTAAAAAGCAGCCACCAAAAATGCTATTAAGAATTAGTCACAATATTTAAAGTCATTTTAACTTTTTGCTGACATTACAGCAATGTTACAGGAAATTAGGAACAGAGGAATTATGCTGGTCTATAATGGTCTATCTAGCGAAGTATCCTACCTGTGTAGCTAAGTATCCTGACAGTGACTAACAACAAATGCTTCAGAGAAAAATGGAAATCCCTTATATGGCAGCCTGTAGAAGAGCTGTTAGTGGTTTAAGTCTTGAAGTGGATATATTTAATTGTAACTCATTTTAAAACACATTCTTATTTCTATCCAATACTTAAAAAATTTGCCTCAGTATCTTGTAACAGCGAGTTCCACAGTTTAATTATGAGTTGTGTAAATAAAACTGATGAAAGAATACAAAGTTAACTTCATTTCATTGGGTATACCCCCTCCCTTTTTGTATTTGGAGAAGGAGTAAATGATAGCAACCAACTGACAACCTCTATCTCATTCATTACTTTTTGTAGTTTTTAGGTCTTAATTTCCTTTAAACTAAATATTCCTAATTTTAGTGCATTTAAATATATGGAAAAATCTTACACTGTTAAAATAGCACCCAGAATGTGCTAGGTGCTTTCCAAATTCAAAAGAAAGCAGTCCCTGCTCTGAAGAGTAATATTCCATGCCTTTAGTCATTTTTGTCATCTCTCTTGACCTTTTCTATGTCTACTTTGTCACTTTTGAGATGGAGTGACCAGAGCGAACAAAGTATTCAAAGCAATACTAGTTGGCTAATTGGATGCATCTTTCACAGACACATACACATCCCTACAAAGAATACAATATATTCAGGATCTTGTGTATAGTTTAAAGCAAACAGACTCAGATCATGCAGTATCCAGTCCACAAAAACAAACTAGAACAGAGATTGCTATTGAAGTACAGATACAAAATTGTAAGGATCTTAAGACAAACCAAATATTCAGGGTTCTACTTCTTAAATGATTCAAGAACATGTAGGACTTGCCCTACCCTATCTGCAAATCATGTAGTTGGTCATAGAGGAAAGGTTGAGGGGGCAGCAGAAAAGCAAGTGAGAGAAGGGGGGAGGGGGGGAGAGAAGAAAGCCTCCCTTACTACCTCCCTCTTTGTCTCTTTCTCCTCCTAGGTCTTTACATTCTCCTTGCTTTATGCTGCTCAAGGGGAGCAGCATCTCCCTTCTCCCAGCTACCTCTTTCTCCAATACCAGTAATAAGCAGAGACTCTAATAGACAACTCATTCTCCCTGGTGAGAGACTAGATTAGAGAACAAGTTGAGGTTTGATCATTGCAGTCAGCCTGGATTTCACGTCTCTTGCCCGGGGAGGGCAAAGGCTAAGGACATCTTTCCTCAAGAAGTTTATGCCTGTCTGAAGGAGGTGGCATCAGCCTGCGTGTCTGGAGTTGGGGCCAGGGGACAATGACAATGACTGAATCCATTTCAAATGTAGAGATAGGGCTTGTTGTGGGGGGAGAGAAGGGAGGAACTGACTGGGAAGAGGTAAGAATGAAGAACTTTGAGAGATTGAAAAACCATGTGAAAGCAAGGAAGAGAAAAGGAAGAGAAAAGGAAAAGCAAAACCTGTACTCTAGAAAAATGTGTGTAGGGGAACAGGAAGAGGCAGGATGTGATATCAGTAGATATCAGTCATATCAGTAGATCAAAAAGAAAAAAAGCATGCAAAAGACATTTACTGCTTAACAGAAAACAATGCCAAAATGTTAAGATATACGCCAACGAAAGAAAGAACAAGGGGTTGGACAGAACAGACTGATGTGAGGAGAAAGACATACTGAAGTTTGCCTAATGCAGCAAAGCGTGCACTGCTAGTCCTGTGAACATTACCGGAAGTTTGTGATATTTGAACTTTGATATTTATTTCCAACTTCAGGACAGCAAACACCACCATTTAATTATCTGAGAATTAATTTGCAATCAGTAACTTCTTACTTGGTAACTGCTTGACAAAAAGCTGCCAGCTCTTGATTCCGCCCTTCAATATCTTGGAGAAGTGCATTTTCTGTTGTCAGGCTAGTGGTCCCATTGTCTTGCTACAGTTAAAGGATAAAACAAAACTTTAAACTGGTTGAAAACATACTCCCATAAGCCTTCAGATCATAGTCAAACCTCAGAACAATGCTGTGTCCCAACTAGATTTCAGCTACATGAAATGTGAATTTACAGGTATTAGCATACATATGTAATAAAAAAAATGAGTATTTCAGTTATGATTGAATTGGTTTTGTATTAATTAAAATCATCAGAATTGATTCTTTGCAACATTAGCGAAATGGAAAGGGAACACTCACGGAAGCATAGAATCTGGCTTAGATGGCTATTTATAGTCAAGATATGTGACAGCTAACTCTCCAATATGGCACTAAGTTCCCAAGTAAATGTAGCAGATACTGCATGCACACAATGATTGTCAGTCTTGTACTCTCTTATCCCATTTTATTAAAGGAATGCCAAGAGAGGACATTAGGTCTATTCTCTATTTTATGCCATGGTACAACTTCCACCTGGTCAGTCAGAGGACAGAATGAATTGAATAATGGCTGTAAGAAGAATGGTACCCCTCACAAATCAGTAACTTTCAGCATTCTGTATGAGCTCTAGTGCAATCCTTGAATCCACGGTAGTGTTCTACCTGTGACCCCTGAGACTCCACACTGCAGTCTTTGAGGGCAACTGTGTTCAGAGGATTCTGATTTACTTCCCGCAATTTTTAAATTGAAGTGTTTGAATCAGCCCCATTACTAAAAAGAAAGCACCACTGCAGCCCCGATGCAAGCCAGCAACACCCTGAGCAACAGCTGTCTCTTCCCAGTTCAATAGTTCTCACACTGGGGCACACGCTACATCAGAGGTGGGCAAACTACGGCCCGCGGGACCCTCCTGCCCAGCCCCTGAGCTCCTGGCCCAGGAGCCCCTCCCCCGCTGTTCCCCCTCCCCTGCAGCCTCAGTTCACTCTGCCGCCGGTGCAATGCTCTGGGCAGCGAGCTCCTGGGGCAGTGCAGCTGCAAAGCCTGGCCTGACCCGGTGCTCTGTGCTGCGCGGTGTGCGGCTAGCTCCAGCCGGGCGGCACGGCTGCAGCGCCACCAGTGCTCCAAGCAGCGCTCTAGCCACTCCCTCTTCCTTGCCTGAGATACTCTTCTACATCAAGGCTATGTTAACACTACAGTTACTAGGACTTCCTGAAGGGGAATTTTGGGGTGACATAAGTTTCCCCTCACACTGGTTAAATAGCATAAATGGAACAGAAAAAAAGGCAAGAAATCTGCTTCTCAAATACTAATTTAGGCCCCTTGACCTTTTTGAAACATGTTCAGCCTTCAGGCTAAGGAGGGTGGCACCACTGCTCCAGCCTGAGAGGAGGTATTCTTGACTATAACTGTCTATAGGTTATTGACACCAGTTCTGATCAAGCAATAGAAATATTAGAAGATCTGGTATAAACAGGTCACTGGGAATTTAAGCATTGTGCTAGCTAGTAAGACCAACTCTTGACCATACACTATCTCAAAAGTAGATAGGTAAAAGATTATTTATGGGGATCCAGAAGAATCTGTTTGCCCTTCCCAACACTCCAGGCAACGGAAAGGGAAGAAATTGACTATCTGTAGTTACTCCTGAAGAAGCTGAAACGTTACTGTTCAATTCTCAATGGGAATGTTTAATCATATATAGTTCCAATTTTATGACTTCTACTTTAACCTTCTAAGGTCTAAAATACAAGTACCTTTTTATGGTAGTAGATTGAATAAAATACAAGTGAGTTTATTTCAGAAATCAGTGCAACGTTTTCATGTAATAACCTGCACAAACATTCCAACAGCTGCTGTTAGTGAACTCTATGTCCAAAAATCTCAAGTTCATCTCTTGGCAAAAATGTATATTTGTTATACCAGATAAAGCTATTTAAATACAAAGCTATCATATGTATAATTATTATATTGAAGTTACACATTTTATTGGGATTTTAGATTTAGAGCCTTCTGCCACCGTAGCATTTTTGAACCAGTTATTTTAATCATGCATTTGCTTCCAATTTAAAAATCAGTTTTGTCACATAGCCATGCCATAGCAGAAAAATGTTATACTTAGTGCAAAAAAAACCACTATGAAGAGATTCATAATTGGCATTTGCTCTTCATTCAATTGTGCATGTTACTTACCACACAAACAGACTGGCCCTGTTTAACCAACTTTGATCTGCTGGGTTACTGTTATCAGTATATTTATGCATTACCTGTAAGCATCTATGCTTCTGTGGATGCAATATGCTGTTTATTATATAGTAAGGAATTTTTGTTCACGTTATTTTGTGTGTGTGTGTGTGTGTGTGTGTGTGTGTGTGTGTGTGTGTAAAGCCAACCTTTGATATTTCAAAACTGAAACATCCAGAAGTGCCATGGCACCAAAGACAAGACAGACTTCTAAACAAGCGTTAAGTTACATTGTAGTAAAAACTGCAAGATACCATCTCCGCTGGCTTTATTATAATGGCGAAAGCAGCTTTTCGGATATCAAGTGTGGTAGCCTGCAACTATACCAATTTTCTATCAGAGTTTTCAGCAAGATAGGAAATTTGAGTCTCTGAAGGAAGCACTGGTAATTTGAATTTGTTGTTTCACTTGCAATTACTGGTCCTACTTCTTTAGTGTCTCATATCAAGGCATTCAAACATTTTTCCTTCCGGGTAGTGCATCTTCTAAATCCAATGTAGAGGGTAACAAGACTACTACTTTACTTTTTAGTATCCTTTCTGGTTTGAGTTACAGGGAGAAGACTGTGGATGACTAGCTATGTTAAAGGGCATTGTAGGTGTCATTAAACCGGATCTCAGTGAAGGAAAAAAGTTCAAATGACTCATCTGAAATCTGACCATAAAGAATGATGGTTAACTGCAATCAGCAATTCAGACTTCAAAACTTTCTTCCTTATTTGTTGGTAGTCTGGGGAGAGTGTAAAGGCAGAGGTATTGCTCTCAATCTAGCATTGGCCTGCTAAACCCAGGGTTGTGAGTTCAATCCTTAAGGGGGCCATTTAGGGAACTGGGGTAAAAAACACTGTCTGGGGATTGGTCCTGCTTTGAGCAGGGGGTTGGACTAGATGACCTCTTGAGGTCCCTTCCAATCCTAATATTCTAGGATTCTATATATCAATAATTCCCACGCCATGTTGTTTTCAGCCACTCTCCCCAACCAAACAATAAGATTTGCAAGGGTGGGAAGATTATGTGTGTCTGAGATCCCTTGAAGGGAGTTCCAATTCTCTAATTCAAAGGACTAAACACAAAGACTAGTTGGAAGTTTCACCTAACAAGGTACTGTGGTCTTGTGTACTTTAGACCAGGATTTCTCAATCCGTTGGTCAGAACCCCAAATTGGGTCACCAGAATGGCTCACCTCCCTGATCCAGGCACTGAAACTAGGGATGTAAATATTGTTTAAAAAAGTTAACCGGTTAAACGATTAAAGTTATATCGTTTAACCGAGGCCGCCCCAGCATGGCTGGGGTCCCTCTGGCTGGCACGGGGCCACCAGGGCTGGGGCTGCTCTGGCTGGCATGCACAGGGTTACCAGTTAAGGTCAGTTAACGGTAAGCCTAATGCTTACCAGTTAACCTTTTACATCCCTAACTGCAACCTCTGGGGTCCCAGCACCACTCAGGTTTGGCCCAGCCACCATGACGACAGGTGTCTGGGTAGGCCAAATTTAAGTGTGTGGCACTCAAGCTCCAAGAGCCAAGTCACAACTCCACTCTCACAAATTTGGTCCTGTCAGGGGGGCGGGACCAAACCTGAGTGGTGCTGCAATCCTGGAGGTTGCAATGCCCAGAGCAGACAGCCAAGTGCAGCCAGCCTCACAACAAGGGAGCTGCCACTGTGGGGTGAGTACTGGGCAGGATCCAACCAAAACTACCCCAGGGCCTCCACACTATTTACTCGGTCGTGACAGGCCATAAACATTTACAGTGAGAACCACTGCCTTACATAATGCCTCTCTTTCTATAGTAAAGGCAGGTGAAATCACATGAAGTGCCCAAGCTAGCAGCCCCCCATTTAAATTTGTGGACACAATGGAAGGCCACTCAATTCAGGAACTCACATACACTCAGGTTCAGACAGAGCACATTTGCTTTTTCCCAGGACATTCTGCAAGTCTCATCTTTTTCAAGGCTTTTTAGGAAGAATGGATGCCTTTTGAAAGACTTGTGTAATGCATTGGATTGGTGGGCAGGGAAGGGTTACTCATAGTCACACTGGGGCAACTTGTAACTTGTGTCTTTTTAAAATGTGTTTCAAGCTTTGGAAAGGTAAATCTAAAGAAATACTTGAAAAAAACTACACTAAACTTCAGATGTGTTATACTGTCGCTAAACACGGAAATTACTTTGAAAAGTTTTACCTTTTGGGATGTTTTGATTAGTCACATTTTACCTTTAATACTTTTTTGCAAGATATTTAAATTACAATTCCAATTAATTTTAGCAGAAAATTGCTAAATCACCTCAAAATATGGAGCCATTGCATAGCATGCATAGTTCTCTTGTACACTAGTTAAGCAAACAAAGGAGAGGAACTAGAAGCAGTAACTTGACCTTTTCTCTGCTACATCTCTGGTTTGACAAACTTACCAACTGGTGGTTGTTTAAAGACATACAAAGTACATAGGAATGTGCTGGACAGTCACAATTCAATACAAAGTGGATGTGTCTCTACAGCTCTCACACATATATATCACTTGAGTGCTAACTTCAGATTAGCAAAATTAAAATGGCCCTTAGAGATGGCTCCCACATGCAAGGTTTCCTAAACTGCCTCAATCCTGACATTCTGCTATTGGAGCTAAACTGGTGCTGGAAGTAATGATTAATGCTTCTCAGTGAAATTTACAAACATTAATCCAGTTATCTTTTCACAAAAGAGAGAAAGTGTGCACATGATGCCAGTCTCAACTATTTTACTATATGTCTTGTCTGCTAGCTTCCAATTACTTACATCAATTATGGCCTAAGCTGTTTTTAAACTGGTAGGACTGGGGCG